AAAAAAAAAAAAAAAAAAAAAAAGTCCACTCCACTGATAAAATCAGGAAGAGATGTTTGCTTGTTTGTTTTTCTCCTCAGGACAAGTGAGGCGAGGATGATTAAGCCATACAGTGTTCAGGGAAAGGCAGATTCTAAGTGGGGCAACTAAAGGTTGGTCCTTTCTGCAGGTGTTTTTACATTTCTACTCTTCTTCTAATCTTTTTCTCAGTCTTTTATAGCACCCCTCCAATCTATCCCCCACCATGAAAGTCAGAATATTGTTGAGGTTTAGGTTGGCCAGCTCATGCATGTACAATTTGGCAGTTGAGACCTCCTGAATACAGAGAAAAATGTTAATTCAGGATTTTAAAACTCCATCAAATAAATTGAAATTCTAAGTTAAATCACAGACTTATTAAATTTATTGCTGCTAACCCAACATTTGTGTTTTTTTTAATTAACCTTTGTCTGACAAATCATAGGTTAGCCAAGTGACATTGAATATATATATACTTTTGTTCCAGTACTTGGGCCACCACTCAAGATAAAACAAGCTAATATTGGTAAATGGGGAACAACTTTCAGCAAATTAATTAGGATCACATTCTTATTTCCATTGTCATTATCATTATTACTTCACAGTCAGTGCTGCCTGCTGCCAAAAAAAAAAAAAAAAAAAAAAAAAAAAAAAAAAAAAAAAAAAAAAAAAAAAAAAAAAGCAAAGTGCTGTACTTGAATTTCAGAAGTTCTATTTGAATGACTCATTCCTTTGGCATCTGAAGAAGGCCCTCAGCATCAGGCAGGACTTTCAAAAAGGATCAGCCATCTAAAAGGGCTTCCTTAGGCTAACAAAGCGCCATAAACAGGAGCCTAACTAATGAATACTAATAGATTTTTCCTGTTGATGTACATTAGTCTGCATTCACTCTACCCATTTTTTATTCATGCAACTCAATTATCTATATTACTGTTACCAATAGCAAGTCTTCCCTTCATTAAGTATTGATATTAAGTACCACCTCAAGTTAATTAAGCACTTTGTTACATCAACAAGATCTCTGTTTATTCTAGGCCAGAAAATGAAAGGAGGGGGGACCTTTAAAACTAAAATCTTAATTATTGCTGCAGGAAAAGCTTAAGCATTTTGCATTCCCTTCTGCCACTGGGGATGCCACCGAGTCCTTGCAGGGACTCTTTCTTGGACTGTAAGCCTCAGGTCAACTACGCATGCCGCTTTTCTGTTTACTGCCCTTTCTCAGTCACTAGCAGCCTCCTCCTCAGGACAGATGTGTTGAGTGTAATAATACCAATTTAGCACAAGTGCAAGAATCTGCAGACAACAAACCAGTAAATTATGGGTAGCTGGCACAATCCTAGAGTCCAGATGAGTCTGGATCAGGAGATGAAATTGATTGAAGGTCCCTCGGACTATACTCCAAACCAATCCTTTCCCAGACCCTGGGCACTTACTGATTTATGCAACTGATTCCTTTTTACTTCTCCTGACTTTTTGATGCTTTTAAAAATTATTGTTTACTAGTCCTTCTTCCACTCCACCTCTTCGTTACAGCATGTCTTCCATTTATTGTTTTGCTTCCTGATAGCCAGTTCTCCAGGTCAATGGCTCAACTGCATATTTGCTTACATAGAAGATAAAACAGCTGCTTATTTTTCTATCAAGGAAAAAAAAATGAAAAGGGAAGGAAGGAAGGAAGGAAAGAAGGAAGGAAGGAAGGAAGGAAGGAAGGAAGGAAGGAAGGAAGGAAGGAAAGGAAGGAAGGAGGAAGGGGGGAGGCAGGGAGAGAAGATGCATATATTCTTTTATAAAATGTTTTGTTTTCCCTTTCCACCACCCCATTCATAAGTCTGGCTGAGGCCCAGGGAAACTGTGAATCAACAAACTTGCTGAGGATAACATGCCCTGCTTGAGGGGCTGTGTACCATTATTTGATACTGCTTATTCAGTAAGGCTGACAAACATCCTAGCCCTTCCTGAATCAGACTTTTAGGGTGGCTTTCTTGTTTCATTTCAAGTGTTGGGAATTCTCAGATTGGACCCAGACACACTGGAATGTCAGTATAAACACACATCACAAAGACCAATGTAAATGATGGTTAACTTAGGTGTCATTTTGGATTTTCTAAGCGATTTCTGGGCTAGCAGTGAGTGGCCTGAGTAATTGAAAATGGATTGCATAAAGGTCATATAACCAAAAGCCAGCTCATGTCTGGAAAATGGGAAGAGCTGACTGACATTGGACAAGTCCCTTTCCCCTCTTGTGGCTTCTTTTACCCTTACTGATAAAACATGGGGATCTGACTAGATGATCTCTGAGGGCCCTTGAAGCTCTGACATCCAGTGACCTGTGAACAGTTAACAAAATCATGCATTATCCTTCTGCTGGCACAGATAATCCCAGCTTTTTGCCCCACTGTACTTTGCCTTCACCCATGTTTCACTCCTTCAAGACTGACTAACATCCATCTCTCATTTCCCTGTGGTCTTTATCCATTGTTTTGGAGTGGGCCATCAAGGTTGGAACACTTTGAAAAGCACAGTTGGGACACTGAGAGAAAGAGATTCCTGAATGAAGCCCAATTTTGTGCTAATGAGCTGGCAACTTGGAAATTTTTGATGCATCTCCAATGAAGCATGAAGTGCTCTGATACCTGTCAACAAAGTGACAAGCTGGCCCCTTGAGAGTCAAGGCAAAGAAAAATGGACTTAGAAACACTTACTGGCTTTTTAGTAGTAGCTTTTATTTAGTCAGATGCTAGCAGGTACTTGCTTGGGGCTTTTGAATAGATTTAGGAGATAAAAGAGAGTGAAGGAAAGAAAAGTTAAATAAGGTTTATCTTTTCAAAGGCAGTCATCAGGAGACACATCTGCAACAATAACCAACATGTATTGAATGCTTATTATAATAGTGTAAGAGCAGCATTAAAAATCAATGGCATGACTGTGAATACCTCAGCTTGCTACACAAAATTTATTGTAAAAAAAAAAAAATAGGTATTGACTAAAACTTTCCTGGCCAGTTCTAGGAGTTCCTGGACAAATTACCAGCCCACATTCCTACTTCCACCAGCTTGTCTATAGTCTAAGAAGGCAAACAACATAGTTAAACATAGTTTAATATAGTCAATTGTTTACATTGATTTATTTTTTTGCAAATAGAAAAGGTCCACTTTATTATTATTTTTTTATATATGAAATTTATTGTCAAATTGGT